CCTACTCTGGCTGAGTCTTTTAGAAAGACTTTATTATTGTTATGATTGAGAAATGTACAGCACAGTGTGGACATTAGTGATGAATAATGCACTGAATGAGTTTGACCTAACAAGCAAGACCCTGAATTGAGTAACCTGAAGTACATCTCTGTATTTGCTTCTGCTACATGTCTGCATTTAATTCTGCAGCCTTTAGCTTGGGGGATTTCTGATCTTAAATTTAAAATTCAGATTTTGAATTAAATCTGCTAAATGTGAATGAGTCCATGAAGCAAAGCCCTCATAGCCCACGTCTTCCCAACACAGCCTGTTCAGCGGATGGAAACACAGAGCTGCACATGCACAGAGTGAGTGCTCAGCCAACAGACAGGGCCTACAGCCCCCTTGCTGGCGATCCGGTCCAGGGATGGCTGTTCCATCACCTGAGAGTGGGCTTTATGATTTACTGGGTTTTGGTCACATTTCGATACCTCAGCCCAGAAGGCCATTTCAGAGTGAACAGTAACCCACTGGAAATACAGCATCTCACTCCTCTTAGAGCAGTTTCTATTTCAAACTCAAACACAATATGGCTGGAGAAGTATTTAATGCTAAGTTCAAGGTTCCTACGTGCACTGCACCATCATCATCAGCTTTGTCGCTGAAGGCAGGCAGCTACATCCACTGTTCCTGTACATGGGGTCCCTGTGTGAGCTCTGTGACAGCAGCACCTTAAACAAGGGTGACGTCTAACCAAAGCCTGAGCAACACAGAACCCCTCACACCCAGAAAAATATATAGTCAAGACCTACAGAATCAAAATGCTCTTGTATTCCTGCGTACATGTATGACTGACGTTCATAGGTACCAGAATAAAACATAAATAACAAATAAATCCTCCTCTATTAAAAGTAACAATTACCATCATTTAAATATCTATCACAGCCCTGAAGAAAAAAGCACATTCCTTCCCATCTTCACATCTTCGTCTGGAAGACAGATTTCAAACAGACACAAAGCTTAACTGTCACGTGCTGGGGTTTTACTTTCTGAAGGCAAAGGAAAACCAATACACCACATCTTATCTGGGCTGCAGATGATCAGGAATCCATGTCCCACAGTGGGAAAGCACAGGGTACCTACTACTTATTCTACTCTCATGATTACGTTTTACTTCTAGATAGAGAAAAAGCTACCACTGAATGCTGGATATCAAAGGTTCTGTGGCAAGATGAGGTTCTCCAAGTTGTCATACACCCTAGTCACACAGAAGACATGTTTTTTTACTAATCATTGGAGAAATATGGATATTTAGAGCAATAATCTCATTATTCCATGTATATGTTCAAGGTCTGACCACAAAAATGTGGCTAGTAGTGCAGGGTAATAGAACACACAATTGGATATGTTTACACTTACCAGAGGCAACTTTCAGCCTTTGTTAAGTACAATTCATTACCAGATACTTTTCAAAGTCAAAATATTCCCCACTTTCCATAGCATAACAGGATTTGCTTATCTAATCTGATGACAAAGCTGCCCACTGCAGAGCTGAAGACGATACAGTTCCCTTTTTAGATAATAGTAATCTCTGTTACTGCAAGTATTACTGTCATAAAGCCATAGCCAGAAAGAAACCTATGGACAGTATGTGTATCAGTGGTGTAAGAGACTTAAATGCTGGCTTTAATTCAAGTCAAACCCAAGTCACCGGCTTCACCGCACCAGGATTTCAGGAGGGAGGAATATTAATTACATCGTATTATAGTAGAACACGGGAAGTTTAAAGTATCTTCCTACCAATATCTTTAAGGGGCTGTATCAACGTCTGCATTCTATTTCAAACTTCTGCAGCTCTATCACCATGACTGTACCTGAGGCATTATAAAGAAAGTGGTTTTCTAGTAAATTCTGCGATTTTATGTCATTCAGACCCTGATTATTTTCTCTAAAGCCTCACTGATACCCTTCCAAGTGTAGTTTATAGGATTTTCCAAAAGAACAGGGGTGAATCTGGTCCAAAGCCTTGTTGCTTTGTGAAACAGTGCTAGTAAGTCCATCAGCCTGAGGGAAGAAGAGGTGGGTCCTAGGCACACCTACAGTTTATCAGTAGCCACAAACCCTGGGGGAAAATACTTGCATGAGTCAAGCCAGAGCTTGGAGCAGAGGAAACTCCCCAGCCCAGATGCCCCATCCTCTGATCAGCACCCGAGGGAGACAGGCAGTGTGATGTGCAGTTATACATAATACACTTTGCTGCTTTCTGCTCTCTATACTCACACCTGGTTTCCACACCAGCTTGTTTTTACTGGGTTAATACACAGCTTGGTGCTGATGTGGCCAAATGAGCATGAAAAGCTGGGAAAGAAGAGAATAGAACAACCGAGTGACTTGAAGGGAATGCAGGCACTAAAATCTGAGTTTATGCCCAGTGGCAAATAGACTCATTAAAAATAGAATGTGTAATCATAGAATCACAGAGTGGTTTGGGTTGAAGGGACCTTAGAGCAGTTCCAACCCTCTTCCACTAGCCCAGGTTGCCCTGTCCAACCTAGCCGTGAACACTGCCAGGGTTGAGGCAATCAAGATCATCGCTAATCAGTAAAGCAATAATCAAGAGCAGAATCTTACTTTACTGAATGACTAGTGCACGAGATGCATTTCTGCTGCTTTTCTGGACAACCCACAAGCTAGATGAAGCTGGTCTGTTACTGTACAACGAAAGGTGAACACATGGAGAGTTGTTACAGGTTTTTTCTTACTTACATTTTTCCAGCTGCTGTTGTCATCTGTGTCCCAGGTATTCCTGGCATACCAGGGAAGCCCTCCTTTTAAGACATGAGCACTTTTATTTTCACTCCTTTCCAGCAACCGTAGCAAATACTTGGAGATTTCTTCCCACTGCAGGTAGTCTTCCAGCTGCTTGATATTTTCAGGTAATGCTGAAAATGGGGTTTTGTTTTCTTCTTCATAAGCATAAGGAGAATCTCCAGTGCTCTTTTTCCCCATTAAATGCCCTGGAACACAAATGACCATAGCATGAAATTACCCAAGACTGGTATAGATTTGGTTGCTCAAACATCAGCTGGAAGCTGTTACTGATGGATAGCATGGAGGGAATGGCTTAGAGGATGTCAAAGCAGAAGCACAACTGGGAGTGGAAATCTGTCACAATGTCACACATCGTTTCCCCCATTTCTTATTCTACATTGTCAGAGAAAACTTTACTGAGAAAAGGCAGAAAAACCCGAGAACTGTGACTGGTAAGAATGCTGGAATAAGAAGTGGATAGAGAATCACAGAATCAACTAGGTTGGAAAAGACCTTTAAGATCATTGAGTCCAACCATAAGAAGCAGTAGGCTTGACACTTTCCCTGCCTTGATATGCCATGTGGCAACTGCAGAGAAAGGCTATGTTCCAGTGCCTTTCTAGGAGCTAAACTGAGTGCACTTTTGATATATCGTACTTTATAGTCATCAAACTGAAATCATAGTTGGCTTTAGGCTGCAAAGAAGGTTACTGGGATGGGGAGGGGGAGAGGCAGCGCTGGAGGAGGCTCCCCGGGCTGAGCGGCACCGGGCCAGACCGGGGCTCCCCAAGGTGCTGACAGCGCCCTGGGGTGCTGGGGAGCTTCGGGCTCGGGTCTCGGTTCCTGCATGTCTCAGGAAAGGCAGCGGTAGAAACGTCATCTCCATATGAACGTGTCAAAGCTGCGTTACCCCGCACAAGCGCAGGGTGCTGGGACGGAGGCTGAGCGGGACGAGGGTTGCCGGCCCTCGGGGAGCTCGTA